CAGGTTCTGGGAAGGTGGTGTAAGCATAATATATTATGGATGTATCGACATAGGGAAGGGGTGGTTAACAAGCTAAATGGTACGTATGTAAGGGAACTAGCCTGTATGGGGAGGAGCGAGAAAGAAAGAAAGAGAGAGGAAAGATGAGTGTGTGTCTGTGTGTGTGTGAATCATAATGATGTATCTATGAGGTGGAAAGATGAAATCAGGGGGGGGGCAGGGGCGTTCACTTGTCGTTTCTTCAAACTCTAACTCCTCCAAGCTCTCAGTTCCACCTGCTGTATGCTGTTTTTATTCTCTCTTTTCATTCCTGTATGATAATTGTTACTACACGTTTTTTTTAAATATAGGAAATCAGTCAGATTAGCTTTACCTCTCAGTCTGTGCCAATTTTTCCACGCGGGGGAACCAAACATGGGAGGTAACCCAAACGAAGCTGAGCCACCAGGCCACAGCAATCGGGTAGTAGTAATCAGAGAGTAGCGTCTTCAGGTAGTGACTGCCGTCTCCATTCACTTCACAGTTCCAAAACAGGTAGGTGGGCATAGACATCAGATAGGGCTCGGTGCTGTTCCCATTCCAGCTCTCGCAGTCGCTGATCAGAGTTCCCAGGAGAATGGGCAGAGACAGGGACAGAGGGAGCGCAAACGAACCGATCTGAAGCAAGGTTTTGCACGCTGTCTTCGCGAACGTGTAGCACAACAGACAGGCCCCAATTTGTATGAGCATCACCCAGAAGGGGTCTTCTAGATAATCTTTCGCTTCCACATTTGCCACGCCATCCGGATTCACCAAGTGCGGACACCCCTGTTGGCCGTCATCTCCGAAGAAATAAAGGACTCTAGCACAGCTGGCGTTGAAGTCACTGATGATCGCGGTCATAGACAAGAGCGTTATGCAGATCTTCCACAAGCTGATAAATAGATATATTTTTGTTCTCATTCTTCGTGTTTGTTTCTTCAAGTCTTTCAGCTTTCGACCTAGAGAGCCCAAGGTCGTGCTATTGTTTACATAGTTTTCCCAGTGCCCAAACGAGATGAGGAAAAGGGACGCTGGTATTGCCCAGGACTCTGTTGGCGTCATGTCCTCCAAGAAATACCTGATAGGCCATAGGAAGAGAATCGAGGTTTGGAAAACGATGGCGATAAAGTCGGCTATGTATGTGAAAACATTTCTTCCCTTGTCGCTCTCCCGGTCGAAAAGTTTGAGGATGGAAGGTACGAAGGCTACACCCATCGTAAGAACAAGGCCCCTCAGGGAGTCCATGTTGGGTAGAACTTGAAACGCGAAAAGCGACAAGCCGATGGAGTGGAACGTCTCACTGATGAAAACCTGGGCAGAAGAACGGACAGATTCAAAATTAATCATTTTCTACTTTTCAAGCCTATGTGGTTAAAATATTATTGAATTGTTTTATAGTGAAACTCAATTCAATAAAAACAGGTCAAGTACAGTGTTTATTATGACGTGGAAGCAACAGTTGCAACCCAGTAACAACTACAACAACGGCAGAAACTACAGCGATAAATCTAGAACGAATCTAAGACGTTAAGGCTTGATCTTGTGATAGAATAATTGGATGACAAGGGTTGGTCAACAAAAGGAGATCGTCCCTCCATTATCATTATCATCTTCATCATCATCATCATCATCATCATCATCATCATCATCACCACCACCATCATCATCATCATCATCATCATCATCATCATCATCATCATCATCATCATCATCATCATCATCGTCATCACCATCATCAACGACCACCAAAACAATAAAAACAATAACTGCAACTTGATTCACCTAGCTTTTAGTAGTAGTATAAGGTTTTACGGCGCTCGCAACTGCTAAGGTCATATGAGCGCGCTCACCTAGCTTTAACACAGCTAAAATCATCTGCTAATGCTCCCCAAAATCCCCAGTAATTACCAGAAAAATAAAAACCAATCTAGCCAGAAACAAACATTACCCGAACAAAAAAATCAACCCAGAAAGAATACAAAAGGTGAACAAAGCAATAACAAAAATTATTCAAACAATCAGAGAGTTAATTACTGTATCCTAGACTTCCAAACTGAAACCTCTACTAAAACAAAAACAAGATCTCTCTCCCTATTTCTTTTTCTCTCTTTATCTCTCTCCCTTTCTCTCTCTCTCTCTCTCTCTCTCTCTCTCTCTCTCTCTCTCTCTCTCTCTCTCTCTCTCTCTCTCTTTCGCCAAAAAACACACTCACGTATGCGCACGAACACACACACACACACACACACACACACACACACACACACACACACACACACACATACCCGTAACCTCCCCTCCCCCAACAAGTATGCATTACTCCCTCGTACTCACCGCCAGTGCTGCTCTCCAAGAAGGCGTCCTCGAATACTTGAAGCACACACGCCACATACACTTGATGAACGTGAAGACGTACGGTGTAGAAATGAGCGTGAACATCGCCCAAATCCACCGAATTTCCACGTTCTGCGACAGTCGATACACCTTCCCCTGCACGCTCTCCGGCTTCACCCGAGAGCAGAAGCTGAAATGGCGCCCGCCCGGCTGCTCGTGGCAATAGAGGGTGACGTTGACGTAGATATTTGATGAAATCAGCAGTAACGTCGTCTTGGAGATTATGGTGCACACCAGCACTAGCAGTGTCAAGATAAGACCCACCGCCACCTTCAGCACTTTGCGGAAGCGGCTGATTGTGTGGTCGTCTAGCGCGACGTCTTTGACACTGCTGACCACGCGGAAGACGTCCCATGTTCTCCACGGTGCTTTGCTGTCCAGACTATCTAAGCTGGAGGTGGATGGAAAGAAGGAAAATGTTTCAGAGTCAGAGCTCGTGGTGAACAGATTTACCCCCGGGGTTTTTTTTCAAATGATGATGATGATGATGATGATGATGATGATGATGATGATGATGATGATGATGAATTTTTTTTAGTTTCCTTAATGGGCCTGACGGACTTCACGAAGAAATCTTCGAGCGAGAGCGAGGCTCTTTTTCGGCTCCATTGTCAATATGCTTAGCGGCACCTCCACTCGTCCAAATAACTCCATTCGAATTGCCATTGTTCCTGGACATTCAAACATATGTTTGATATCCTCCTTTTCATTGCCGCATCTTCGGCAACATGGGCTGAGCTCCTCATTTACAAAGTTCTTATACCATCTTAAACTCCAATGATGGTCCGACCGCAGTCTCGCTATCTCAACCTGGTCCCAGCGACATGTGATAGATTTTTGTTCCCGCTTATAGGAGTACCCAGAATACACATCTTCCAGCTGCTGCTGCTGCTACTGCTGCTGCTGCTGATGATGATGATGATGATGATGATGATGATGATGATGATGATTATCAAGATGATGACGATGAATCATGATCATGATCTCCATATACTCTTTTTTCTTTTCGTTTTAGGCAATCCCCTCCCCCTTTTTCTCTCTCTCTCTCTTTCTCTCTCTCTCCCTCTCTCCCCCCTCTCTCTCTCCCCCTCTCACTCTCTATCTCTATCTCTCTCTCCATCTCTCTCTCCCTCTCTCTGTCCCTCTCCCCCCCCCCTCTCTCTCTATCTCTCTCTCTCTATCTATTTATCTAGCTATCTATCTCTCTCTTCAGTACAAAGAGTAGAGAACTATGCCTATTACCTCGAGTAGCTGTCACGAGAAGCGATATTAGCTCTGGCAGGCAACGATCTGAATCGCACCTGGTCGCCGGAGTCACTGCTCATCTCGTTCTCTTGGTCAGAAACTTTGAGGTTCTCATTGCTACTCGCGTCGCTTAATCTGGAAACAGAAGTAAGTCTCTACAACACTTGCCTTTAATGTCTCATCTTACTGTGTCTAAACATTTCAAATTTATTAAGCATTGGAAATCGACAAAAATGGTATGGTTCACGCTAATAAATGTGAAGCGTGCTGACGTAATAAGTTACTTCTCGGATACAAGACCACGCTTATAGGTGAAGTTTTTACAATTTAAGAGAATGGAATGATTTTAAAAAAACAGATTATAGTGAAAGACTAAGGCCTCAACAGAAAATCTACAAATTTGACTTTAATGTTGATTTTTGACTTATATCTCCAAGTGTGGATTGTGAGAATTAACTCATTTTGTCAGCATGCCTCAAAAATGATCACTTATTTCTGTTGCTAATTAGAATTATTTGTAATGTTTGAAAACGTTTGGCTATTATAGGTATTGGTCATTCACAAGTATATTTACTATTTAGGAAGGATTGAACAATTAATACACTCATCTGGCGCTTAAGGATGAATTCTATTATCACATGAATGCGCTCCTGACGTGTGGTGAAATGCCCAAATTGGCTAAAAAGTATTTTCTAATCGACCAAAACAGTTCTATAAACTTTATTTTCCCCACAGCGTTTTAGACACCGATATAAACCTGTGGGTGGATGGGTCCATGTAAGCAAGGTGGGATGGATTCAGTTCCTCCATGCTTCCATCAACAAAGGCCGGGTTGATCACCCCTCCATTAGGAATGGCTCTGTCCGAGGTCAAGAGATCTCGCCTGTCTCCCATTGGTCTGGAGACGGCCGGAAGTGTGATGGGGCGGGATACTAACGGACCAGACGGGTGTGTGTCTGGAATCTCGTTCTGAGAAAGAGAAAGACCATACAATACTTAAAGTCTTGAGTACATACACTTGCTTCTCCTCTTCTTGGCAAGGTTTATATCTAATATTAGAAGAGCATAAACGTTCTTTCTTTTGACTCCGTAAACGATCAATGCGTAAAATAACAACCTTGAACATTGATAACACCTAGTTTTTCTTTTCAGTTTGAGCTTTCATTTTTTGCGTTATACAGTTCAAAACAATTTTCGAGAGAGAGTTTCCAACTTTCTTTACCTCCTTTTTTGCCTTTTCTTTCACGTTCTCGTCGTTCCATCCCTTGATTTACCTTAGTGAACTCTTTACAAAGCTATTAACATCCAACCTCTAATGGAGTTCGGAAGGATACGAGATCGCCAATGATAATATTATGTTAAAGAGAAAACATTCATATCCCACGTAGTTTCTTCATAAGTTTCGATTTGAAAACAATAAAACATATTGGGGTAGGTTCATCGACAATTAGTCAATATTCTGTCCAAGACAAATTATTACATCTAACTTTGATGTCATGAAGGGGTGTACTGCGCCCAGAGGAAGACTGGACTCACCTACTAGATGGTATATAATCAGGCGTATATTATTTGTAGTGGCTTAACTTAGTTATGCAGGCCATTTCTGGCTTCTTTCATGATGCTGCAAAGGCAATCCTTCCGCCTTCGACATATCTGGGTGTCAGTTGTAAGATGTGACATTTATACATAGCAAATGCACACAACACAATACGGAGCGAAGCAGTTGGAGAAGATACAGAAAGAAATATGTGACAGAAACGAGATAAAACAAAATTTAGAGCACTTGGTGTTGACAGGTCCTTTATGTAAATTCGACTAAAAATATCGATGTCCTTTTCATGGCTGCCTGATGTCCTCACGATATTGTCCGGGTAATAAATTTGAAAGCTCGTTATTTGTTTCGACGGAGATCTCGGGGGAAAAGTCCTCTTTGCCAGTGCATAGCGATGTTACCAGACTGGCTACAGAGAGTGTTCTCTCAGGAATGTAAGTGCCCGCATGTCTTGGTGCTCTAGCACGTTTGCAAGGTCAAAGAAAGAGGTGGGGAGGGGGTGATTTGTGGTGGCTCGGCTGCCAGTACGTAAATGACGCAAAGTTATCAGGTTCGTCTCTCGTCACACAGTTAAGTGACGTCATACTTCTTAGCTGTGCGACGAGTTGAAATTTTCCGACTGTAGTAAAGGCCGAAGTGGCAGCGTTGAAATAGCCAGTCTTTTGAATTATCTAAATTAAGATGAAGGGAAAGTGATTTTTTTTTAAAGTAGTTGTTTTACACCATCATTGACTCAGATCATTTAGGAGGTTGACTTCCGACCATACCTGTCAGGGCCAATCCAAATTGAGAGGGATACAATATCCCAGAAAGATAAAAGTTTTCCCCACTCGGGAATCAATCTCAAGTCTCTTGTGTGCAACAGCGAAGCACCTAACCACTACACCACAGACGCCGGAGAACGTGAAATGATATAAATGAAACAAAATAAAAGCAAACAACAAAGAAGAATACATGTACTAAAACCATGCACCACCAACCCAGTCTGCGCCTACTTGTTCATTGTAGATTCTCTTGAGGCGCTCTGGGGTTTTCATGTCAGACAGGCTCCTGTCGCCTCCTGGTGTCTCCTCCCGTCGCTGGCCGACGTCACAAAATTATTCCCAGACATGGAAATTACACACTACACGTGGGCGGTTGGCGGATGCTCTGCTGTGGTTTGCTCCTTCTTCCTTATTAAATATATATCGTCCTTATATCTCCTCTTCTTTTATTTGTATGTTTCTCTTTAGGAACGCCTCTAATATTTGCACATATATATATGACCTATCTGTGTTGCAAGTGCTGTAAAACTAAAACACTCAGCTACACGAACGTGTCATGTAATAGTCCGGACACAGGATATGACACACCTGACAGGTGTCTCATCTACAGCCAGGGGAATGTCTTATTGACTTCAGAACCCATATAAAACAGAGAAAGAACAGACAATCAACATTCTAAAAAGGGTTGTTTGAAGAAAACAAACAAACACGGCAATTCGTGTCTATAAAACGCGTTCGAGACAACCATCCCAATTAAGAAACTGTTTTGAGGTTTTAAGCCGCCGTACTAATGCATAATTTATGGTGGTCTACGTAGAGCACTTCATACCCGTTCATTTGAGTGGCAAGATTTCTATACGGTCGAGAAATATAGTTTGGACCCAAACTTTCAGGTGAACTTCAAAGTTCGCTGAAACAAATTATTAGCATACACAACATTTAAAGTCTGAATCGAGAGAATCCTCGAACTCTCAAAAAATTAAATCTCCCAAACCCCGACCGAAAGAGACAGCCTGACGAATCTATGTACAGACTATTATTATTATTATTTCATAGTTTTACAGACCTTGACAGTAGGTATAAATTATATCAGGTATATATTCAAATGATCTAGAATGTTAGGAGTGAACAAGTTATTACAATGGTGAGGAGGTAGATGATTTAATCACGCTGCAAAAAGGTTGTTGTTGCAAGGATGGCACACGTTTCTGACGCCTGGCAGAGCCGTTATTATGATCCAAAACGCAGAAATACTTTGTTATAATCGGTAAGTTAAATCTTGTTAATAACCTTTTATTTATTTATAAGCTATTACATTGATTTCATAATTTTAGGGAGATGTGAGTAGCACTGAGAGCTTATACTCGAATGGGATAGAATGCTATACTAATACAATTTATTATCAATAATATTATTACTAAATCTGATTTGTTTACTGGACGTTCATTGGGTGTGACCTGCAAGCTTTTATTATTTTAAATTCAACACACAAAAATCTATTGGCTTTAGTTTGCTTATATATATATA